TGTAACCAAACGCTGAAAAGTCCTTTGGACTCTATCTCAATCCTTGAGAAGTTGCAGCACTTTGAAAATAAATTTTGATGAAAAAACTCAAGGCAAAATGTGATTTATGGCAATTTGAGATGTCCCCATGTTTGCCATGGTTAACAGGAATTTTAGACTGAGCATGTCGTTACAAAGGCAATGGCCAGTCAACATTGTGGCCAAGTTTGATTAGTATTGGAAACATTTTTCAAAGTTTCATATTCAGATTGAACTTGGTAACAGGAGGCCTTCAATAAAAAACGGCCATTTTTTCACAATTATGCTCAATGAAGGGAAAGGTTTACATGTTTATATGACTGTTCGTTATTATGCAATGGTTTTATGTCCTCATCGGCTTTAAAGCCAAATGGAATAAAATGTCCTACTGTCTAACTATATAAAAAACCGTGAGGCTATGTCGCGTAATTATATCTGACGCCATAGTGGCACAACGTCCACGCTAAATTGAGCGTTTAATATTAACCGCCCTCTAATAAACAGAATTTTTTTTTATTTTACTTAAATTCAATTTAGCGATGTTTCGCATAACATTATTTTTCTAACTCATTCAATAAACTCATTATAGAACCTACCATTCATTCATTTTTTTCTCTGTTTTTATGTATTTTTCTTTCAATGAGCGACCATATTGAATAAACCATGCTCATCTATCTGGGTGAACAGTGTGGCAATACCACGTGACTATGACGTCATTTTTCGGCATCATTTCAAGACAAATATGCTCGATCGGAAAAGAAAAATAGCCGTAAATAGTTTTTTTCTGTACCAATTTCCTTTTGGGATATGCACCATCTACGGGGAAAAAAATATAAGCTTTCACAGAATATGGATCTTCGTACAAGTTTATATGCCGTTTTAATCAACAGCTTTGCATAACCTTGGAAGTTGTTTGTAATTAGAGCGGGCTTCAGTTGTAATATTTCGTTTTCTGGCGTTATCTGGTCTACGTCCAATGATTAAAAGTCAGGTTTACATCACCGGAGTACGGAAGGCTAAACTCTTACCTAAATATGTTCATATTTTTATACGAATGACATTTAAATCTTACATTTTTTCTTCAATTTTTAATTCTGGCACACAGTTCAATCGAAAAAAAAGGACTACAGTTAAAAGCAGAGTTAGAATCCTTGCAAATGCAAAGCAACTGCCACCATTCCTTTCTACAATTTAGTTTTTAGTCCCCTACCGTTTACGCGGAGGGGACTTTAGGTTTACCCTCCGTCGTACTGGTCCGTCTGTCCGTCGTCCTTTCCGGCTGTCTGTCATCCGTCAGTCCGCCGTCCACAAAACTGGATCCCGCGATAACTTGAAAAGTACTGAAATATTTTTTATGAAACTTGGTATATGGATAGATGGCAGTATGGAGATTATGCACGTCTTTTTCTTCTTTCCTATGTTTGAAAAATTCTGGTTGCTATGGCAACAAATAGCTAAAAATATGGCAAATTTTACACATTACTGGATCCAGTGATAACGCAAAAAAGTTATGAAATTTTTTATGAAACTTGACGATATGGGTAGATGCAAGTCTTGGAATTATGCAACGTCTTTTTTCTTTCTCCTATGTTGAAAATTTCTGGTTGCTAATGGCAACAATAGGCTAGAAAATATGGCAAATTTTAAACACATTAACTGGATCCAGTGGATAACGCAAAAATACTGGAAATTTTTTTTTATGAAAAACTTGACATATGGGTGATGGCAAGTCTTGGAATTATGCACGTCTTTTTCTTTTCTTCCCTATGTTGAAAATTCTGGTTGCTATGGCAACAAATAGGCTGAAAATATGGCAAATTTACACATAACTGGATCCAGTGATAAAGCAAAAAGTCCTGAAATCATTTTTAATGAAAACTTGACATAATGGGTAGATGCAAGTCTTGGAATTATGCACGCTTTCTTTTCTTTCCTATGTTGAAAAATTCTGGTTGCTATGGCACAAATAGGCTGAAAAATGGCAAATTTACACAGTAAACTGGATCCAGTGATAAAAGCAAAAAGTCCTGATTTTTTTTTATGAAACTTGAACATACTGGGTTAGATGGCAAGTGTTGAGGTATTATGGCACGTCTTTTCTTTTTCCTATGTTCGAAAATTCTGGTTTGCTATGGAACACATAGACTGACAAAATTTGGGCAATTTTACACATAAACTGAAATCCAGTGATATCTCAAGAAAGTACTGGAAAGAGTTTTTATGTAAACTTGACATAATGGGTAAAGCAGTGTTGAGATATGCATGTCTTATCTGTTCTTCCTATTTTGAAAAATATCAAAGTTGCCTTGGCAACAAATAGGCTTAAAACAATGGCAAATATAACAATATTTGTGATGTAGTCAAAAGAGCTGAAAATTTTTATGAAATTGCATCTTTTAATTCAGAGTTATCTTGCCTCCTGCTTTAAAATGTTATATTTTGGTACAGGGATGTTTATATTAACTTTAGAGTGTCCTCAAGTCCGTCTGTCCTGTCGGTTCATAAAACTGTTTCCTGTGATCACTTTTAAAAGAACTTTTCCAACAAGTTTACTTAAATAGAGAAAAATTGGTAACTATAAATTGGTTCAATGGTCAATAAAGTGAATGGCCATGGCCGCTTCAAAATGTTGATGGGGTTCTTACCGGTAGGGGACTTATGGATTGCTTGCAATACTATGATAATTGCTTGTTCATTGTTGATCTTTCACAGAGAGAAAGATTTATTTATTTAGACAATTTATTCTATTTCCTACATAAAAATAATTCATTATCAGCTGATTGGACAAATGGAAATCCACCAATTAGTAAAATGCGCCGTACGTTATCATTGATATTTTGTGCGCCATACGTTATCATTTCCGGAAAATGCCCCGATATTTTTATTTACAGCAGTAAATCTAGCCATAATTGTCATGATTGCTTACTTGACAACATATTACTACATTTTTAAGTCAGTGGTTTCAGTTAATATACATATATGTAAAAGAAACAGTGAATTTGAGAGAAAAAGCCGTACGTTACCACGATCAAACCGGTGGAAAATTCTCTCGCTTCGAATCTGGTGACGCGCATTTCAGATGAAGTACGGGACGAAACATCATGAAATAAAATCCTGTGTGCCAGGAAAATTGTGTAGGAGGTTGTTATATGTACCTTTACATTAGAACATCACGAATTTTAGAGAAAAAAGGGAAAAAGCCTACTTTTTGGCTGCATCCGCCATCTTGTTTGTTTGGGTAACGAACGGCGTGATTCTCCCCCTTGATGAATTATATTTTTTAGACTTTAGCATTTCGCTACTCATTTCTATCATGAATATAAATTATTGTGTCAAAATCAAACAATAAGAATATGATATTATATACAATATTGAAATTAACAGTTGTTCATATGAAAAAGATGGTTTAAAATAAATATCAGTATCGTGAGTTAATTTCCAGGCGTACATAACAATATATGAAGCATTTCTATAACATTTATGCAATAGATTATGCCTAAAAGTTAAAGCACAATTAAGGAAACAATCTGAGTCATCAAAACATTCTGAGAAAATTGAAACATAGATAGTCCTTTATAGTTAAATTAATCAATGTTACGTGTTCTTAAAAGTCGGTAGCAGGGACACACATTTCATATGGAACTTATCCTCTATGACATATATTGCACGTTCTTTCACCTTTGACCATATCGTCCGGTTTTAAACCTAAGGCAATATGCGGATGTCCTAAAGTTGGTAATGGTAGATCCATATTTTTTTTCTACTCGGTAAGTACTGGTAATGATACTGGTACTGATACTGAATAACTTGGCGATAAATGGTACTGGTACTAATACTGCATATGTTATCGAGCACTGGTACTGGTACTGATACTAAATAACTTGGCGAGAAATGGTACTGGTACTAATACTGCATATGTTATCGAGCACTGGTACTGGTACTGATACTAAATAACTTGGCGAGAAATGGTACTGGTACTAATACTGCATATGTTATCGAGCACTGGTACTGATAATGAATTACTTGGCGAGAACTGGTACTAATACTAAAACTGCATAAGTCTGCAAGTTCTGGCACTGGAACGTACTGATACTGGATAACTTGGCGAGTACTGGTACTGATACTACATAAGAGTAAGCAAGTACTGGCATTGGAACTGATAATAACTTTGCAAAAAGTGGTACTGATACTGAATAACTTAGCGAGTAACGGCACTGAAACTGATACTGCATAACTAGGCGAGCACTGGTACTGATACTAAATAAATTTGTAAGCAAGTACTGGCATTGGAACTGATAATAACTTTGCAAAAAGTGGTACTGATACTGAATAACTTAGCGAGTAACGGCACTGAAACTGATACTGCATAACTAGGCGAGCACTGGTACTGATACTAAATAAATTTGTCGAGAACTGGTACTAATACTGAATGACTTTGTGAAAACTGGTACTGATTTTGCAAAAGTTGCCGAGTACTGGTCCTGGTACTTAAATTCTATACCCCTTGTATTGGTGCATGTCTGATCAATATCCATATTTTTAAAATCAATATTTTAAAACATTTAAATTGTCTGTAACTTATTTGATTGACATACATTTAATGCTGTGTTTTGAGTAAAGAAAATCACACTGTACTATCACAACGTGTGATCATTTATATAGTCTGTCGTTTGAAAACTCCTCTTCCACAATATAATGCAGTAAAGCGGAGTGATATATTTATAAACAGTCCCTATCAAACATGTACAACATTTTAAATCTTTCTTTAGGGTTTCCATTTTTCCTAATATATCATGTTACTAATAAACGGACTCGAAAATGATAAATATGAACTTATTTCGTTAAATTCAATTTGTTACAAATATTTGATCTAACATTTAAATTCATTGTGAATTAACAGCATGTGTTGTACCAAAAGATATTAAGTTTTCTACGAAAAATATAATCCCCTGCTTGTGAGTTATTTATTTTTTCATTTTTAGATACTGTAACACCAACTATTGCATTTAAGGCAAGATTAAATGCCGATACTGCAGTGGTGGGAAGTCAGACAATAGTGTTTCCAGTATTCATCTTCAAGGAAGGAGATGCATATAACCCAGATACCGGAAAATTTACAGCACCCGTCAGTGGGGTGTACATGTTCAGTTTAGCTTTCTGCGTTTATCCAAAGAAAGAGATACTTATAAGTATAATGATTGAAGGAACAAGATATACAACGTCATTGTTCAATGGTTATGATAACCATGGATGTCCATCTGCTGATACAGTTGCCATAGTGACCGCCGGACAGAAGGTATGGGTCGGGGCTTTACTAGGCGGTATTGATACTGGCATCATTATATTTCAGAATGATTCATTTCGTTGGAATACATTCTCCGGGGCATTAATAAATAGGAGGATTTAATTCTTTTTGAACTTTCTTTCAGGCAATTGTTTATTAAATAGCCAAGTGCTCTGATGTACATGTGTATGGGCGTACATGCATTTATTATATTGTAAGATCTAATGCAGAATCAAAATTAATAGGGCATAATATTATATTATGCAGAATTTATTGTTATTGATGCAGTACTTTTTAAAGCAGCACGTCTCAAGATTCATGTCAGTTTTCATAAAAATTTTAGAAATGTATTTGAAAGTAAAATTTTGTGAGGTGAACAAATAATGTAATTTACATATAGCAATCAGCACTTACAATCCAAGACAATTACTAAAAAAGTGGTCAACATATGCCAAAATCAGCCCTTACTACGTTAGTAACGCAGTAGAAATATAGTAATGAAATACTGCAAAATCATTCTTAAACCGCATATAACATGCACATTTTTACTTGCATCTTGAATGTTTTACCTTTCTTACAATGATTGTACATTTTTCTCAATATTGATTTTCTTGAAATATTTTGGCTCATCTGGAGACATGCACTGATTAATTAGGCTCAGCGGTGTTTATCTTGTAACTATACATGTACATTTTTGTTGCTATTAAAAATAATTTCTTTGGTTTATTTATTTGGTATATTCAAATTATTGTAATATATAAATCGCAGTTAGTGCTAATTTGGTGACATATGTTTTGTAGGTCGTATTTTTATTTAATAATACACCATAAGACAACTATTGTTTTATCAGTAAACTTTGATATATAAATGTTTCTGTGTCGATGTGACGTAAAACCCAAAACAAACAAAATATAAGATTAATCAGTTTTTATATGAATTATATAAGTAAATTAGTTATGCAAGTATATAGTTATATAGCAATTTTGGTATTATAACCTGTCACTTTCGACAAAAATGGTGTACTTACTCTCCTCTGCATATGCACTGAAGTCCAGGTCATCTTTGATGTCCCTGGTAGTGGTATTGCAACACATGATGATGATGAAATTGACTTAATTCTGTAATTGAAAATATAGCATACTAGTACCATGGCCTAAAATCTTGACTATTCAAACCAATTACAATACATGAATTGCTGCACTGCTTATAAGGAAGAAGGGTTGTCAATAAGAATAATCTAACGTTTCCAGCACAATAATGGTTATTGTCCATGATTATTTTTCAAATTGTGAAATGCTGAAATTTTACTGCAAAAATGATTCAAATGAGACAAAAATATTGATTTTTGTCCGTTTTTCCAGACAACATTTTATTTTTTCTACTTTATTTCTTTGAAGATTCAACAACCCTGGATAGTAGATCAAGGTCAAGGTTGCCCAAAAGCAAAAAAATCTCAAAATCAAAGGACGTCACATTTATAGGACTACCCTTGATAGTTGAACATGCTTTGAAGAAATGCCTGTTCTGCTAGCCAATAGTTCTAACCTTTTTTGAGACACATGTGGCTAATCTATTTCACAGCATTGTAGTTACTACAGCTTACAGTAAAAAACAGTAATGTGATTGGAAAATAAAATTTATTCTAAATATAATTTTGTTGTGTCTTAAATGATTCTTAAAAGATAGTGATTGGTCATCTTAAACGATATTACAATGGTGACAATGAACATACGCCATAAAATTGTAAAGGATTAGGCTAAGCCGATCTTTTATTTAACCTGTTATTGTTAACAATTTATTGGTACGAAAATTACAGTGAACGAAAACTTGATACACAGACGTGGATCGGCAAGCTTAATTTCTTTATCATAAGTCAAAACCATCGTAAAAACTATAACACAATATCTGTGTTTATATATTCGTGGGTGAAATTTTTCTATAAGTAGATCTAAGACCAAGAAAAAATTAAATGCAAACAAAAACGATGTTCACCTCACCTGTCAATCAGATAACAACTTCACGGTCGCTTTTGGTTTTAATTACCCTTTTTAGAACTTTTCATCGCTTTGAATCACTACCGGAGTATATCCGTGATTGAATTAAATCACAGTTTCTTCCCACTTTTCGCTTTTTCCTTTTCCAATCTCAAAATTTATTTCTCGTATACGTGACACACCTTTCGTATTGTCCGCCATTATTTTGGTTTGGTAAATCATATCACGTGACTCAGATCCGAACATTTACGGAAATAATCGAAGGGCTTCCCGCCAAAATATAAATCTTATTTGACTAACCAAGTCAAATAAGAAACTGCATTTTTTAGAATGGTCAGAAATGTTACGGAGAGCGTTTCTAAGTTGGAAAACTTTGTCAATACTAGTTAAATAATGCATTTGATAACAATAAGGCGTTAATTTGACAATCTGTTTTGATGAATTTGACCAGGAATATAACTTTAATTTATTTACGGGTATTTTTACTACAAAGTAGTTTTCCAGCGACAAGGTTCGAAAGCAGACGGAACTTTAGTTATTGCTGGGATATCTTTCGTTGAAAGATATGGGGTCTAAGATGACGTTTCTTTATAAATGAACAAAACCATATATAGCAGATACGTATGAATGTAGAACCAATAGTAGCATTTCTAAGCTATTAAAACGGTAGAACCAAAGATCATCATGCACATATCTTTACATAGCAGAAAAAGCACCGTCTGGAACTGCACAACACTTCTAATAAAAATAGTTATATTTCCCAGAAGAAAACATAACTGTTTTATAAATAGTAAATTGTGAATAAAATAACAGAACACAGAATGATTGGAATAAGGCCGTGACTTTATTGTGCATTTTGGTGAAAACAAATATCATCGTCAAAAAATATGAAATGAATGAGAAAAATATGAAAGACAGCTCCCAGCTAAATGCATGGAAAGCTACATAGCAACGCAAAGTGCTGTAAACTATGATAATAAGCTCTGAAAATGCTAAACTCTGCTTGGACTTGCCGCTAAGAGGTCAACGATTAAGAATATAAAGCAGCGTGACATTTTACAAGAGTAAAACAATAACAAAGCTAAAGAGAAATCAGGGCAAATTGTTCACATTAAATCTCTTATCAACGAGATATTTCTTGACGACAACATTTTTATCAAATACCGAAATGCACATTTTGTGTGTTGAGGGCCACTTAATATTTCAAGAAATGAAATTCGCCACTAATGATTTTCATAGTGAATGCACGTATTTGCGAAAGGAAAATGTAAAGATTTGATACAGTTGATGCCTTGGGTTTTCCTAAGTAGTTATTTGTTAATTATTTTCATAACTCCTGCGCTGAAATGGTAAAAATGTTTATTGGATACCAGTCTGATCTAGACTACACTGAAATATGCATCAGTGGAAATGAAGGAAAAGCGAGAGAAGTACATGTACACATTTTTAATAAAATAAGGAAATTTTAAAAACAAAAAAGGGGGTTGGAATCTTAGCAAATATTGCTAATATAATATACATCGCAATCCATAAAAAAGCCTGAGCTAAGCTTCAGACCGGTAGGACAGGGGGACTTACATGTCTGTTTCAACAAAGCCGGGTGTTAGAGGTATGTAGCAAAGACAACGCGGCGATAAAGCGATATATACGGACCTACACGTACATATCAAACACTGCTTATTCAACTTTCGAATCAATCTTTTTGGATTATAACTAATAAAAACGGCATATTTAATTAATGTTTAGAATTTGACACTGTTAAACACGAAAAAAAACTTGTTTTACGGATGTTTAAATAGGAGGAAAGTCATATAAGAAACAACAAATTAGTTTGAGTGGCCTGTCAAAGTTTAGTCCGAAACTTCACAAAAATGATAAAACAATCAAAAAGTTCTTTTATGATTCCTTGTTTGTTTTATATATCTTTTTAAGCTGCATGCCTCCAGATGAGTCAAAATATTTCAATAAAATCTAACTTGAGAAATATGTACTATGATTTTAGGAAAAGTAGAATGATTCAAGATTCAAGTAATATTTTACATGTAATGTGCGATTAATGACTGATTTTTCAATATTTACAACTAGATTTCTACTGCGTAACATGTTCTAATGCAGTGAGGACTATCTATGCATATTTTGACAACTTTTTGGCAACTCGCGTGGGTTGTAGATGCTATTGATAATGTGCAAATTGCTTCCTTTTGGTTATTTCACAATATTATACATTCAAATAAATTTAAATAAAAAAAATCATGAAATTTGGAGGCGTGCTGCTTTAATATCAAGAATTGTCTAAAGAACTTCACAATGTGCCGTTTTTATTGTTTTTATAAAATTTCTACAACTGTAAAATTTTAGGTTGCCAGGCTATTCTTCATTAATATGTATTCTTTAATGTAACTTTAAAATGACTTCAAAATTAACTATGAGTCGACAAATTTCTACAACACTAAGTTCAGGCCACTAGGCCGCCAACTTCAAGCCGCCAGGCTGCTGAGCCGCTACTAGGCCACTGGGCCGCTAGCTGCCAACTCCACACTCTATTACTATACAACTCGTGCATGAAAGAAATATTTCTGCTTGATAATTTATCCAACAGTGTCCAATAAATCAAGTTAATATTAGAGATCAATGCAATGAATTACCTTTTACATGAATAGCGTGAATTAAGGAGAGTCATTTCCCATCAGTCCATAACATCAACCGGTTCCTTCCTTGATATACTTTTGCTCTGGAAGTATTACAGCACGATTCGCGTTTTCACGTGTTCGTCTATCTGTCTATAGACATAGCTGCACACACCAGTCTGTATCAGTACTACTACAAAATAAATCAAACACATGTACATCTGTAAACGACTAATTACGACTAATTATTTTCAAGCTCTGTGTTAAGTTTGTTTTTTGTTTGTATTACTTTTAACAATAACTTAGTATCTGTATTTAAAATGGAATTGTAAACTTTATTCAACATATAAAATAATGATTAGTCATGCAGATAGCTGAGTCAGGCAGTATTTGTATTGTACTTCTGCATATACATGTATAAAATTTACACATAAGACACGTGCTCGCGCCCACGCCTTGTGTCGGACATGAAGACTTGAAATAAGCAATCTTTCAATTTTTC